ACACAGGGGACGCAGGAAGGGCCAGGCCCCGGAGGAAGGGGAGGGAGGGACCGGGGAAGACCAGAGACAAGGACACGGGAGGCCATGCCTCGGAGACGAACCAAGGAGGGGTGACCAAGACGGTGGTGCCACAGAAGAGTCTCGTGAGACAGGAGGCGACACGAGCAGGGGGCAGACTAAGGACCAGACCTGGACGCTGCAGCAAACACCTGACCCGACGCAGCTACCTGACCAGACAGAGGGACAGGAGGAGACTCAGTGGTCAGGGTGTACAGGCTCGACCCCGGCCAACGCATAAACGTGGCCAGGTGCCGGCATGTGCGAGCGTCCGAGCAGTGGGTCACCCGCTGACTCGCAGGAGTAAACTGGTGAACCCTCGCATCCTGTAGGTCAACACCACTCACCAAGTTTGTAGAGAACGAGGGGAGGTAAAGACTAGACAAGGTGCCAGAGGGGGCCGCCGGACATGGAAGGACAGTAGAGAAGTGAGAGAGGACAGGACCCCTAGATGGGTCTGCCAGAGAGACTGCAACCGGCCGACCAAGCGGCGTGAGTGTGGTGTGGTCTCGAAAGAAGGAGCGAGAAGCCCCTGAGTCAAGTGTGAAGGTGAGGGACGCCGAAGCCGACGCGGTACCTGAGAGCGCAGACTCACCAGCACCTGAGGATGCAGACGCACTGGCACCTAGAGCAGCAGCCTCACTAGCACCTAGTGCAGCAGCCGTACCAGTACCTAGAGCAGCAGTCTCAATGCCCGGGTCGCACGGGAAACACCCGTAACAGTCACCCTCATCACTAATAGTCACAGCATACATGGCAGCAAGAATAGCATCAAAATCAAGATCAAAGATAGCTACACCTGCCCTAGACAGCTCACCCTCGCGGGGAATCTCAGTGGCCTTCGGGAACTGGTGATGCCAAGCGTCCGTCAGGCGGCCAAAGCAGCGGTGGGTGGGGTGTAGACCCCCACACTGCTCACCCGCGCGGTCGCCAGTGCGTAGGACGTAGGTGCACGGACCAGTACCCCCACCACGCTAACGTGCAGCGTACCACTCACGGAGCTGCTGAGGGGGGGGGATGTCCCGAGAACGCTGCTGCTGCTGCTGGCGCTGACCACCCCCGGAGCCGCTCTGCTGCGTAGCACCACCCCGACCAGCTACACCTCCTCCACCACCGCCTCCTCCACCTCCGCCACCACCGCCGCCTCCGCTCCCACCGCCACCGCCTCCGCCGCCTCTGCCTCCATTGCCGCCACCGACACCTCCACCCCCGCCACCACTCCCACCGCCACCCCCACTCCCTCCGCCGCCTCCACCGCCACCTCCACCACCCCCACTAGCTCCGCCAGCGCCCTTGCCCCCCTTGCCCTTGCCAGAGCGGCGTCTCCCGCTAGGGGCAGACGCCGCACCGACCGACTCAAGACCAACTAGGTCGGCCGCAGCAGCAGAGGCGACAGAGGGCAAAAGGGGGGAAGGGGAACACCCCTCAAAGATGGGGGTGCGAGGGTCACCACGAGAGGCTCCTACAGCGACTATGCTCTTCTCCGCTGCTAAAAGGGCCTTCTCAAGGAGGTCAACAGTGAGAGTGGTGGGACAGACTGAGAGGAAGTGGTCTCTGACTACACGAAGGGAGTCAGGGAGGCTGGTGACTATGTAATAGAGAGTGATGTACATGGGGGGGGGGGGGGGGGGTTCTTGGCGCAGAACTCAGCAGGAAGCGCAGCGCGGTAGCGAGTGTCACTAGTGCGGAGGTGCGTAATGAGGTTAGCGACTGTGGGAAAGGCATCAAGGTCAGGGAAGAGGTATGGTAGCATGAGGTGGCTTAGTGCAACAGTGGTAGGGGAAGAGTAGCGCGCAACTACAGCGTCGTACAAGGTCTTACCACTCTTGTACTAACTAAAGTGTTCGCGCTCAGTGGTCGGCAGGTGGCGACGCACAGCAAGACGTGCAGCAGCATCGCGAGTGGCCCTCTGTGAGCGAACAGTGGCGTTCGCATCGGCAGCAGGGGCAGGGGAGGCACCAGAGGTGAGGTCAAAGAGGGAGAGACCGTCTGCCCTATCGCACTGTAAGAAAAGCTGCAGGTCATCTACCCAGACGTCAAAGTCAATGGCCCTGCCCTCAGCGTCAAAAGCGAGAACACTGGGGGTGGCCATGACTGCACTAGACTAGCAGCGCTAGATGTGGAGTAGGGGCAGTGCAGTGACAGGGGCGTTACTCTCACCAGATAGGGCGGTTCGGGCAGCTCAGCAGCACAGCAGCTCAGCAACACGGCGGCTCGGAGGACTCGGGCGGCGCGGCAGCAACTGCGGCTCGGCTGCACTCGCGGCTTGGCTCCTCCGCTGCTCGGGCGGCTCGGGCGGCTCGTGCGGGTCGGCCGGCTCGAGCGGCTCGGGCGGCTCGGGCGGGTCGGGCGGCTCGGGCCGCTCGGGCGGCTCAGGCGGTTCGGGCGGTGCAGGCGGCTCGGCTGCGTAGGGCGGCAGGGCCGCTAGGAGGGCGGCAGGGCCGCTAGGAGGGCGGCGGGGCCGCAGGTAGGGCGGCGGGGCCGCAGGTAGGGTGGCGGGGCCGTAGGTAGGGCGACGGGGCCGGGTCGAGGGTAGGGTGACGGGGCCGGGTCGAAGGTAGGGCGGCGGGGCCAGGTCGAAGGTAGGGCGACGTGGCCGGTAAGTAGGTAGGGGGCGGGGCCGCAGGTAGGGCAGCGGGGCCGCTGGTAGGGCGGCGGGGCCGCATGTAGGGCGGCGGGGCCGCATGTAGGGCGGCGAGGCCGCAGGTAGGGCGGCGGGGCCGCAGTAGGTCGACGGGGCCGGGTCGAGGGTAGGGCGACGGGGCCGGGTCGGAGGAGGGACAACGGGGCCGTAGTCGCAAGTGGGGCGACGGGGCCGGGGCCTGGGCGGAGGTAGGGCAACGGGGCTGGGGCCGGGGTGCAGGTAGGGCAATGGGGCTAGGGCCAGGGCCGCAGGGATGGCGGTGGGGCCAGGGTCGCAGTGGGGCGACGGGGCCGGGGTCGCAGGCAGGGCGACGGGGCCAGGGCGCAGGTAGGGCGACGGGGCCAGGGCGCAGGTGGGGCGACGGGGCAGAGGCGCAAGTGGGGCGACGGGGCCGAAGCGCAGGTAAAGCGACGGGGCCGGGGCTCTAGGTGGGGCTACGGGGTCGCAAGGGCTAGGAAGCAGGGGCCGCTAAGGCGGCGCGACGCGGCCGCTAGGGCGGCTCGACGAAGGTAGAGAGGGGAGTGCGACTCGGGGAGCGCGCTCCGGGCAGGGGGAAAAAAAATGTCGATGTGGTGGGCCCTAGGCATAGTTCCTACGAGGGAACCTGCTCGATACCATGAGAAAGTTGAAACGATAATGAATGCACTAAGGAATGGAATGTGATACAAATGTGCAACCCTAGAAATGTGTACCTGATATAGGCTACCCCACTACAGCCTACACAAGATTATGATTTGACATGTCACTCTTAGGTCATTCTCGGATTCCCCTCAGCTGGGGTCACCCGCAGTTGATCTGCTGTGTAAGGTTGATCGGCGAGAGGCGGAATGCACTGTGTTGTGGCAGTGCTGGTCATCCACGTGGAGGTTCTGGACTTACAGGGACCATCATACTAGATCCATCGCTCCTTCTGCTCACCCTTCTCCCATCACTCACTGCCTCTCTCTGTCACCCACATCACCAGCCTCTCCCATTACTCCCTCCTCTTCTGATTGCACAACAGGTGCGCATAGTGCTACCGTCACTCTCCATCGTCGTCCCCTAATCCCCTTCACCTTACACTTCCCATCCACTTCCCCTTCCCCTCTCCCATCCCCTTCCCCATTGCTATCCCCACCTGTCCAGATGAATACAGTCCAGCCAATAGCGTCCAATCTGCCTATCCTGCATCCACCTTACTGCTCTCTCTTTCTCTCTCGACCTCTCTCTGGCCATCCTTCCCCCTAATCACCCACCAAGTGTGCATGGTCCAACCAGCAACATCCATCCATCCATCCCTTGCCATGTATGTGCTCACACACCCATCAGCGATCACTCATCTCCACAATGAGGTCGGTAGTGCCTTGTATGGCATGTACTCACATTTGTTGCATGACTTGCCACCACTGCCATACGCACTTCATTGTCTCCTGTGTCCACCCTTTCGATGTGGGAAAGGCACTCCCTTGATCTCGTCTCCTCATTACCCCAACCCTTAGACACCACGATCTTATCGCCCCATCAGATCATCATCCCATCACACCATTATCCCAACACACCATTATCGCATCTCACCATTATCCCATCACACCACCATCCCATCACGCACCCCGTAATCTCATCAACCCATCGCCATATAGTTTCTTGAATAGAATTTTGCAATTGGAATTAGCTTCAAGGTTTACGGTTGATACGTTTTACAAACTGTGATTGCATTTTATGGTTTATGATTGGATTGCAAAGGGTTTATTTTATCCATTTTGCATCGTGTAGTCTATCAATTAAATGTTTGCAATTTGAAATCGTATCTAAAACTTTTTTTTTTTGGTAATTGCATTATACACCGAATAGGCAAGTGTACAAAAGCAAGAACAGTCGTAACTGCGCTTGGAGGCTAGGTGATAACCCGCCTCAGTGTAGCTGCCCTGGCCTGATGCTGCCCCTTCTTTGTCGCGTCCAAATGGCTGCAAAGCCCGCCTTCCACGTCCACTTCTTTGCGTTCATGTCCCTGATTCGATCCAGAAGCTTCATCTCCTGACTCGGCCCTCCACCACGTGTCACCTTTTGCCCTGATGCGTTGTCTTTCTGCAGTTTCTCTCCCGCGTGTTTCATGAAGACCCTCGCATGCAGCCGAAACGCTGCCTCTATCCTCCATAGTACCCGTCTCAACCGGAATTTTTCCTCCCGGAAAGCCGCTTCACATCTCTCAACCCACAGCTGATGGATAGTGATCGCCGTAAGTGTTGCTTCTGGAAATGCTGAGCTGGACGCCGCTCGCCCAAAAAGAAGGTCGCCCAGCGATGAAATGTTGCGCCCGGGGTTAAGCATCTTGAGGGCTGTTTTCAAAGCTCCCAGCACTGGCTGAATCCTCGGGCACTCGAAAAGACAGTGCTCCATCGACTCCTCCTCGCAGCAGTACGGACATTTTGGCTTCGAACTGAGGAAGGCCAGCCTTTCACCGACCTGTAGGTTGAAATTATGCACCCTGATTAAAACATCTCTGGGGCGACTAGGCGTGGTAAGTGAATCACGGATCTTGGTCACCCGCTTCCAGTCAATTTCCCCCCCCCAACGGTTTGCCCACTTCTCCCTCCTCCGCGCCGAGTGCCCCTGTCTTCTCCATGCTAGCCGCAGGTGCTTAATCGGGGCGACTTGGCCGAGGTGAAAAATGGGTGTGCGGAATAGTTTACCCCCAGGGGCTACAGCTGCCCTTCCCCCCGTGCCTGCGCCCTGATTTCCTTCCGATGAGGCGAGCAGCAGCTCCCTCCAGTTCTCAGGCGCGGCAGCCAGCCCCTTCAGCGCCAGCCGAGCAGAAGCTGTTCCAAGCGACAATGCTAGGGTCTCCTCGCTCTTTGCTGCCATCCCACCGTTCGCCATGGGCGCCACCAGGTCCCCCAGCTTGATCTCCCAAAGCGCCTTAGCAGCCTTCTGTCCCCCAACCGGCGTTCTCCCGTTAAGCAGAATGCCTCTGTTGAAAACCAATCTCTCTGCGGCAACTTCTGCTGCGGTGAGAGGCATGCTGACCGAAGCGAACGGCGACGCCATGAAACATTCGCAGGTTTGCTTCCATCGCGCGCTCCCCCCAACCCAATGTTTTAACAGCTTCTCATGCGATAGGAAAGTATCCAGTCCCAGCGGGAGGCCTGCTGCTGCGAGCATCATGTCTCGTTTGAAATCATCCGACTCGGTGAGCAGGATTCCGATCCTTCTAGCGGCCAGACAGGTGACCAGAACCCCCGGGTCCTTCACACCAACTCCTCCCTCCTCCCGTGTTGCGAATATTGTTTCCCTCCCCCACAGGATGAAACACCCCTCCTCCGACGCGTGATTGCCCGAGAGGAAATTATGAATCAGCTTCGATATCCGACCCCAGACCTCCTGCGGCGGCGGGTAAACCTGCGCCTGGAAGGCGATGATCGGGGTAATGTAACCATTGATGACAACCGCCCTCGCCGTAATCGTGAGGTACTTCAGCTCCCATTTCCCCATTTCCCCTAGAAGTCTCAGCAGTGTCTTGTCCCATGTCGCCTTGCAGTCGCCTGAGGCGGTGACCCAGACCCCGAGCAGTCTCTCCGCATCATTTGCACCGGCCCACTTGAAACCGTCCGGCCTCCAAGGACGACCTCCAAGATTTCTGCCCAGCGGCATCACCACCGACTTATCCTTGTTTGTGGCCAAACCAGAAACACGCTCGAAATAGTCCAGCATTTTCCCTGCCTCTGCAATCTGCTCCCTCCCCTGCAGCAGAAGCGTGGTATCGTCCGCATAACCCAGGTAAGGCAGCCTCCTCCCCGAGTCACTGACAATGCCCAACTGCCTCTTCGCCGCTTCCTGGGCCAGAGGTTCCACCGCACAGATGAAAAGGTAAGGTGCGAGAGGACATCCCTGCCGCACCCCCGAAACCACCTCCAAGGCGTCGCTCTTCCATCCGTTAATTAACAGCCTTGTTTTCGTTTCCTTGTGCAGGCCCCTCACCCAGCCCACATAACTCGGAGGGAAGCCCATCTTCTCCAGCGTCTCAAAAAGGAAGCCCCGGGAAACAGTGTCGAAGGCTTTTTGGAAATCCACCAGCAGCAAAAACCAGTCCTTGTCCCCTTTGTTTGCAGCATCAATGATGTCCGCCACCAGGCTGACCGCATCCGACAATCTCCGGCCCGGTATGAAACCGTACTGCTCCCTCGAGATCACCCGGTGCAGCACCTTCTTCATCCGGTCCGCCACCACTTTCGCCAGTACTTTGTAAGTGAAGTTCAAAAGCGTAATAGGCCGGTAGTTGCTTATTTGGCCCTTGTCGCCCTTCTTGTGTAGCAAGATCGTAACCGCCTCCTTGGTGGTTGCAGGCAGCGATGCAGAAGCTTCGAAGGAGCGCGCCAGGTTCATGAAGCACTCTCCTAGGATGTCCCAATGCAGCTCGAACAGCTCTTTCGGGATCCCGTCCAAGCCCGGCGACTTACCGCACGCCAACGCCTTGAAAGCATTTTTAACTTCCTGCTCCGACCAATCCTGAGCCAGTCCCTCCGCCTCTTCTGCCGACAGCCTCCGGTCCGGTAACCAACTTGTTCGGTGAGTCCGTTTATCCGTTCCGAAGAGCCCGTTGAAGAAATCGGCAGCCGCATCTAGAATACCCTGCTTTTCGCACACCATCGTGCCGTTGACATTTAACTCAGCTATCCGCGTGCGCTGTTTCCTGGCCTTCGCCCTTGCCGACAGGTGCTTCGAGACCACCTCCCCCTTGAGCTCTGTCCCATAACCAGCCATCAGATGGAGTCTGTCCCGTCGTGATGCTTGATACTCCCGCAGTTGACTCTCCTTTGCTCTTAGGAGCTCTCTCGTGCGTGTGCAGTTGGGAGCTCCCATGGCCGCCTGCTTTTGGTTCGCCACCGCCGCGGACAGGTGTCTCATTGTCGCCTTAACTCTCTTTCCTTCCTCCTTAGCATAGGCACGGAGTCCCGCATTCAGTCGAGCCAGTAGCAGAACATAGTCCCCTCCTGACTGCTTCGCCGCTGCTTCAACCACTTTCCTTACCCCCGGTCTGTTGAGCAGGTGGGATGGAAATCTCCAGACACCCGGACCAAGCTTCGCGTTAGCGCCACAGCGGAAGGCCACTCTGATGGCAAAGCCATGGTCCGAGATCGGGTCGTCAGGTGACTTATGCGATGCTGACTCCAGGCCGAGAAGCAGCGACCGCGAGATCAGAGCACGGTCAATCCTCGTGCTGGACTGCTTCGCCATTGACTTGAAGGTGTATTCTCTCTTTGTGGGGTGTAGGATGCGGAAAGCGTCCGAAATCTGGAAGACCCCGCACCTGCGTACCAGCTTGGTGTTTCCAGCCGCTGAGCCTGCCCGTGATGTCTTGTCTAGAAAAGGATTATCTATCATGTTGAGGTCTCCCAAGATGAGGACATGACTACCTGGGTCTATCTGATCAACCACTGGTCCGACAACATCCCTGATGAAACCGACCCGAGCTGCAGGCGATGCTGGAAAGTAAGTCGCTAAAAGAGTGATGAAGAGACCTTTACCTATAACCTCCGTCCTAACGAGTCTACCTGAAGGGTGAGTCAGTGCGTTTCTCAGCTGTATACCAGGATCCCAGGCGATGACAGCGACACCACCAGCCCTCTCTTGAGGCGTAACTGCTACGACTGAGGCTGCACCGAGTTTGTTCCAGTAAGAATGGTTCCCTGCCAATCTAGTGTCTGTGAGGATGTTGATGTCTGCCGCTGCTTTCATCCATGATGTGACCCATGATTGCTTCGTTAAATCTCCGAGCTCGTTCACGTTCAGGCCGGCAAATGACAGTACATTGTTGTTACTCATCTAATCACTCCCTGGCAGCCTTTATTCATCCACAGGCTGAAAGTTGCAACAAAACCGACTACCAGGAGACCTGTCGCTGCCGCCGCTGACCATGCAGCTAGAGTCCGTAATCCTTCTTGAGCAAGGCAAGGGTTGCCTTCTCCAATGTGACACGCGTCGCAGTACCCATCTTTTCCAGCTGCAGGAGATGGTTTGCCGAGGCAATGTGGTCCGATGCCGTCATGAAAGACTTCCCCTTTGCTTTCCCGCAGCCTGTCTGTGTACATATCCATTCCTCCCTGTTGCAGCCCGTGGAAATAAGACCAATCGCCGGGTCCTGGAGAATAGGAGTGATCAGTGCGAGGTGCGCAAGGAAGCAGCTGCGACAATGGACCCCATCGTTAGCATACGGAATGAAGTTGAAAGGTGGGGAGACGAGATACTGTTGCGGGAAAACACCACAGTTACCATTGATCCTATGCACCCTTCCCAAGGTAAGGTGCCACTTCCCTATGTTATTCTGCCGCTCCATGACGAACATATCATGATTTGAGTCATAATGATGCCCGCCACAAAGAGAGCAGGATAGCGAAGGGTAGTGGACCAGAATCTTCCTGCCGTTGTCTGTCGGAATGTTCACCGCCTGCCTCCACTTGTGCTTGTCTCCCGGGTGTGGAACGACCAGGCCTTTGACCGTCTCAGTGTCAGCACCCGTGACTGGGTGGAGGACGCGATGGAAATGCATTCCTTCCAGGAACGGCGGCTGCTGGCGAATCTTCAGCTTGTACCGGGACAGCAAATCCTTAAGCAGGTCAGGAGAAATGTTAGCGGGAACGTTCCTGAAAACAACTTCAATAGCCAACTGATTAAGCGACTTCTCCCTGAGATAACCCGGATTCTCCGTGTGTTGCCAGAACAGCTTAAACGGCGGACCATTTCCCGTCGACTTCTTGTAATCCACCTCCTTCTGACGGATAATGTTGATGTCAGCTTCGTGCAGGATCGAAACCTGAAGACGGTCGTCAGGATCATCGTCAATCAGATCAGCGGTAAGCGAAACTGCCTTTTCAGCAACAAACAAACCAGAACTCCCAGCCCCATTGTCCAACTGCTTGCCAAAGTCACGATCATTCTCCTGATTCTTCATCGGCGACTTGTCTGATGCAGGAGAGTCAATGTTGTCAGTATTCTCCTGACCCCCGGACGACGTATCAGCAGGAAGCTTGGTAGCCTTGGAGCTCTTTGGCGGCATGTTGTGATGATGATAAAGCAGCAGCGTAGCGTTGATGTCGGAATGGTAGCTGGAAAGTTGTGCTGCCAGTCTGAACAATGGCTGCTTAAGTAGCTCCTTGACGTCCTTGCTCCAGTGCCATTGCAACTTTGAAGTTAACCAGGACCCATTTTCAAGGCCCGAAATAAGTGAAATAAGTTGATACACTTGAGACTCCCTTGGCAGAACACCTTGTGTGATTGGCAGTGAATCCCTAATGTTGATTAAAGCCGCGGTATAATCAGTAACTGCCATGTCAGCATCGGGATTAGCCATAAAGCCAAGAGGTACAATGTCCGTTGCGTGGACACATTGATGGTATCTCCTGGTAGCTCGCGTCATGGCGATGCTGTTGGTAACGGTTACGATGTCAACTGATAAGGCAGCTTCACGAAATGCAGGATTCCAGTAAGCATAAGTCAGCCATGGCGGAGAGCTCGAGGTTATAATGGTTGTATAATGGTGGATCGGAAAAAGTCAAATCGTATCTAAAACTACACCTCCGAATTGAAAGAGATTCAGTGCCTTATTGCAGCCACACTCTTGCGGACACAGTTCAGACAATATCGAGTCAGCTGGTTCGGTAATCAAACTCACCCCAAACCACCCCCGAATCACCCCCGCACCTTTCGCTTTACTTCCGAGCCGCGAGCCTCGTTTTCCCGAGGTTCTCGCCTAGCTAGGTTGTCCCCTATATCATTCCCTCATTTTCATTGTATTGACACTCTTTGCAATTACTCTCGATACTCATTGATTCCTTACACTCAGTTGGTTCAATATAACGAAAACTATCTGCAATCGTCAGCCCGCTCCTAGCGAGCATAGCTATATCCACGCTCATGGCGAGCACAGAAGCAAACCGGACACAACATAAAGAACCCGCGACTAGGTTAGGGTTACGATAGACTAGGGCACTGAAGCGGGTGCGCGTTGGACGAGGTGCGCGAGATGCGCGCATTCACGCGCGAGCGCCGTTGGGCCCCGCCACCACTGGTGGAGGGATGCGTGGGACGCGGAGCACCGTTGGCGGGCCCCGCGCGTTGGACGGTGGCACGGAGTGATGCGAGGTGGGTGGACCATCCCCGCGCGCACGCACCCACACCCGATCTCCTACCATCCACCCCTGCCTGCTTCGCGACCGCGCGTACTATCGAAGCGCAGCTGCTCGTCTGCCCGCCGTGACACGCTCGCGCGGGCCACGAGTCGTGCTGCGCAGCTCGCCACTCGCACCAGCACCGTCCGCCGAACGCGCCTTCGCACATCAAGTGCGCCAATCTGAGTCACCTCGCATCGCTCCGTAGCAGCAGCGCGAGCGCGACAGCGTGGCGTTAGGGGTGTGAAGTGGATATCGCCGTCCCCCTCCTTCCCGCCATCGCTCATGCAGCATCTCCTCACGCCCTCCCCTTCGCTCCCCTCCTCACGCCCTCCCCTTCGCTCCCCTCCTCACGCCCTCCCCTTCGCTCCCCTCCTCACGCCCTCCCCTTCGCTCCCCTCCTCACGCTCTCCCCTTTGCTACGCCCCTGTTCTCCTTCCCCATCCTTTCTCCCTCCTTTCCCCCTCCGTTCTCCCTTCTCCTCCGTTCTCCTGCCTTTCTCCTCCTCCCTCCCTCCCTTTCACCTATGCCTACGCCCTTCTCTCAAACGGTCCGTGTATTGATATAGGCGTCTAGATACAAGCTTGCATGGATGTACCCCGTAGCACTAAGCAAACAAACGAACAGGGTAGTCAAGCTCAGCACAGCATGAAACAGCCAACAGAATTGGCACCCATTGGGCCCCCTAAGGCATCTCCAGGACCGTTTCTAGTATGGAGGCGGTCCTGCCAGTGAAGCCGGAGGTTCTGCAATATTGGTGATGTTGGCAAAGGATAGGGCGAAGATAGGCATCTATAATCTGATGGATATGGATGACGAGAAGGAGAAACGTAAGGAGAGGTCGAAGGTGCATTGGAGGCATGCGCTGCGCTATGCCGCAAGACGAGCGGGGAAACCTCCAAGCCGCTCAAGCGACATAGGCGGCGCTAATGGTGGTGGCCGGGAAAGCGGGAAGGAGGTGAAGGGGCGATGAAGTGGGGGCTGCTGATGGGGCTGGCGGAGGCCGTTGACAAACTCGAGATCGCCGAGGTAATGGCCGGCGGAGATGCGGTTGGGAGTCTCTTGAATCACTCGAGTCATTCCGATGCGATGGTGGAAGTGGGGGAGTTGAATAACTGCGAAGAAGAGTAACTGAGGCATCGCTGTGAGGGGCTGTGGGATGGCTGCGAGAGTGAGTGAAGGGAACTGGGCAGGCCAGGTGAGTTGAGAAGGTGTTGCAACCAAGATAAGACTCTTTCTTTTTCCCAACCCCCCTCAATTGCCTCCCCTCACCTCCCAACCTCGGATTCCCTCTTCCCACCCAGCCCCCATTCGCATAACCCTCCCTTTTCCCACTCATTAAGCTTCACACTTGTGCGATCCACACCAAAATGTGACCCCCTTACATCTGTCCTTACCGCACAAACACATTTCTCACAGAAGCCCTACCCCTCCCTTTCCTCTCCCGCACCAACTTCTGGCCCACAGGTCCACAAACCTACAGCACTGCTCTCTCGCCCACATCCCTCTCATAAGCCACTGCCCCTTTCCTTTCTTCCTCCCCCTTCCCCTCCCCCGAAATTCTGCACCTGGTTCTCCTTCACGTGGTTCTCCTTCACCTGGTTCTCCTTCACCTGGTTCTCCTTCACCTGCCCACGGACTCGGCCCCCACAGCAGTCGCACCATTCCCTCCCCTCCCCATACCCTCCTCCTTCTCCCCCGTCCCCAGCCGTCCCCCCATTTCCGCACCTGTTGCACCCTCTGGCCCGCGATTTGTGGCCCTATGGTGTGACGCATTGCTCTCAACCACAGGCTGTCCTTTCCAGTCCCTTTGCCACTTCCCCCAACCATTCCCCTGTTTCTCCACCAGCTACTCTGCACCGCACCTGCTTCTCCTGCACTTGTCTCTCGCCCATGATTTCCTGCGGTGCAGACTGTTCCCAACTTCCACATTGGTGCCTAGATTGGCGTCAGGGCGAACCTGCGCACTGCTCACCCTGCGGGCTGCTGAGTGCACTCCCTGCGCTTCATCAATGCTCTGTCCCCTTCCTTCCCCCCCCCTTTCCCCCCAGCTCAGCACCTGCTTCTCTTGTACAAACTTGTGGCCCACAGGCTCGCACCCTACAGCACTGCCTCCCACACCACATTCCTCCCATAAGCCGCTGTCCCTTTTCCTCCTTTCCCTCCCCTCTCCCTTCTGATACCCTCTCACCCCCCTTTCCCCCTGCCCCACACAGCTCTGCACCTGCGTCTCCTACACCGAATCTGCTCCACCTACCTCTCCCACCCCCACGGCGCCAGTGCACTGCTCACCCCCACAGCAGCACGGCAGAGGCTCCTGACGTGGTGCGTGCTGAAAGGTATGTAGGCAAGTTTATTATGGGTCAGCTGGTCAGCAACAGGCAAAGCTAGGCGGGCTGCTGGGTAAAACATGGTGGCGTTTTCGCATGGACGAGCGGTGGGAGCAGGAGATGGTTGTTTTGAGGGGTGTTTCTGAGTGAGGGTAGTGGGCTGCTTAATAGGTTGTGAGTCCCTAGCTGGCAATGGGTGAGTCGAGGCTGGCCTCCCAGGTCCCTCCCACCCAGGTCACTCTCAGGTCACTCTCAGGTCGCTCTAGTAAATCCCAGATGATTCAGCTGTCCTTCATGTTTTTCTGGTCTTGAAGGCGGCTGATTTTGTTGGGCTGCCCAGCTGAATGCCGCCCAGCTGAATGCCGCCCAGCTGAATGCCGCCCAGCTGAATGCAGCCCAGCTGAATGCCGCCCAGCTTAATGCCACCCAGCTTAATGCTTTGCAGTGGCGTTTTCAAGGTGCTTCATTCTATGTGCATGGTGCGTGCCCTATGAATGCAATGCCGTGGAACCTATGTTGCACTATACGCTTAGCCTGGACCGCTAATGTCGCAGCTGGACTCAAGTTGGCAGAGGGGCGCAGATCTGGCATTCCGCCGCCAGATCCGCGCGATTCTAGTATTCCGCCAGCAGATCGGCGCAGATCGGCAAGAAACATTGAATATAGGGACCATCACTCACTCCTGACACTTTTTTCCCCTGCCCGGAACCTTTTCTCCCTGCCCGAGACACCGTATTTTGAGCGGATCAAGGGGGCGGAAATCCATCGTATGACGTTCCTACATTGGCGTGTATAGTACGAGCGCGACTGGTACGCCAGTCGCGTATAGTGCAACATAGCGTGGAACTAACAGGTGCAGTCTAGAACATCGCTCCTTGCACTCCCCCCCTCTCCCCCTCAACCCCTTCCCATTGCTCGCCACTTCTCTCTCATCCACCTCACTTGCATGCCCCTTCTGCGCTGTTTCCCTGTCACCTCCCAATGGCACCCCCTCGCCCAATCACTCGTCGTGTTTCCAAACAAAGCTACTTATACATCGCCACTTCCCCATGCCCTTCCCATTGCACCGGCATTTCCCTCTGGCCCCACCTGGCTGTCTCACCAGCCCCTCCTGCTGCCCCCTTCCATCAATCACCCTCAAGGTGTGCATAGAGCAACTTTCACTCTCCATCATTGTCCCGCCTTCCCCTTCCCCATCCCCATACCCATCCGCATCCCTATCCCCATCCGGACCATCCCCATCCTCATCCCCATCCCATCCCAGCATCACAAGAAGCACCACCACCAGCAGCAGCAGCAGCACAGCGGGTGCCAGGGTGAGCACAAACACGCACCACCACACCAATGAACAGAGACAGCAGCAAGAGGGGTCCGACATCTGCTCGTCCTTGCCTGCTCAAAGCTTCAACCTCTCCTTTTCATAACAAGCCTCAGGCTTATCAAGACCAGCCAGTGAGTCACATTGCATTGACCAGTGGCTATTCACCCTCACTCTGCTCCTGGCTGCAGTGCCACTGCTGCCTCCTCATTCTACTCTCCCTCCTTCCCTCCTACTCTGCCCTCTTACTCTCCGAATCTCTCCTATTTCATCCTCATCTACTCTCTGTTGAAGGATCCAAACCAACGTCCAACGGGGATGTAGCTCAGATGGTAGAGCGCTCGCTTAGCATGCGAGAGGTACGGGGATCGATACCCCGCATCTCCAGGTTTGTGGGGGCAGCACAGTTGTGAGAGCGCTAGACTGAAAATCTGAAGGCTGTGTGTTTCATCTTTGCCCACCGCACGCTTTAGCTTTGGCCCACAGCCCGTAGTGGCCTGTTTTGCTTGTTTCATGTGCAGACTCTTGTGCCTGAATTTGCTAGCTTCACTCACATACCCGTATGCCTCTTTTGTTCGCTTCACTCACATACCCTTGTGCGTATTTTTGCTCGATTCACTGCCACTTTTACTCGCTTCACTGCCTTGTTTCACTTGCTTCACTCACAGACCATTGTGCCTTTTCTTGCTTGTGTCTCCCTGCATGTGAGCAGCTCACAGCAGTGGAGGTTGCTGCTGCTTAAACCCACCTGACACGGTATCCATCCCACCTGTTCATTCCACTCAACAAGTCATGAGGCGCCCAACACATCGCTGCCACATACGGCCTGGCAGCATGGCAGAGCCGTGATGAGAGTACGTTTATGCGAGAAGTGGGTGCCTGCAGACGAGGAGGGAGGGAGGAATGGAGGGTGACGAGAGAAGCAGCAGACGTGATATGACTTACGTGTACGAGTGCATTAGCTGCACGCTGCTCATATGCTGAACGCAGGGGGCTTTTCGTTGCACGGAAAAATATGTAAGAGGTGCACGCACATGGCATGATCACATGCCATGAGTGCGAATGGTTTTCCAGCTGAAGGCAGGAAGGGCAACGTGCCAAAAGGGAGGTGAGAGAAGCCAAATAGGTGCACGCATCTGAATCTCTTGTTCACGCTATCCCTCCTACTTCATTCATCCATTTTGCTGGTCGTCCGTCTCTCCTTTGCTCCCAATATGTTGCCTTTGACGCGAATTTTCTAGTGGAAATATGAGTGAGCAGCAGTACTTCTCCAAATGCAAAATCATCAGCTCTTTTCCGCTCCCCCTCCTCATGCGGCTGTGCGTTCCTACTCTTTGCCCTTCCCCCCACCCACTCTCCCCCCACTCACTTCCCCTCCCCACGCCAACAGCACCTGTCTTGTGCTAGCTGCAAGAGCAAGAGATGGGGATATGGAGTGGAGAAGTTGCATTTGGTGAGAACTTGCTCCAAAGAAAGGGAGACTGAGAAAGGCGATAGAGTTGAGGGTTTTGTGAGGGGCAAGCCATAGGGGAGGAAGCAGAAGAGGGTACAAACAAGGGAGAAGTGGAAGCAGTAGGAGGTGAAGGAAGAGAGAAGGAGGAAAAGAGTTGAGGAGGAGAGAAGTCGGAGGGAGTGAAGGAACAGAGGAGGTGTTGGTGACGGCGGCAGGTGCTGGCGTGTCCAACAGAGATGTGTCGAGACCGCAACAGTTGCAATGCATGGTGCTTGTTAGTACTCCTGCCATGATGGCTCCCTCCGTTGCGCCTTTGCCCACCCGTGAGAAGCGTCAAGGGCAGCTTCAAAACCATTTTCCACGGACAGGTGGACCAGTGGCTGGGAGAGCTGGTACGTGGCAGCAGGAGAGAGGTGGCGGCGAAGGTGCTTCACACGGAAAGCATGAAGGCGTTTGATGACTGCCCGGCGAGGGGAGAGTGAAAGGAAGGAATGAGTAGGGAGGGGGGGGGGGGGGTGGGGAATTGAGCAAAAAAGAGGGGAAAGACGGAGGAAGAGGGAAGTGGATGGGCTCGGGAGAGGGGCGCTGAAGGTGCTTCATACTGACAGCGTCAAGGCGTTTGACGACTGATTGGTGAGAGTCGAGAGCGGAATGAGTGAGTTGGGAGGAGTGAGGAACGGACGTGGGGAATTGTGTGGCCGTAAACGTGCTTCTCACTGAGTGACAGCGTGAAGGCTTTTGATGAATCGTGACTTTTGGAGGCGCCTAAAAAATTGTTTGATGAGTCCTGACTCTCTGGGAAGGAGTGAGTAGGAAGGCGTGAGGAGAGTGAGTGAGTTAAGCGGGGAGAGAGAAGGGGGAAGAGTTACGGCTTGAGGGAACGGAAAAGGGGGGGTGGAAGATCCCTTGCTCAGACAGCGAAAAGGAACTTAGCTTGGCGAGAGGCGAGAGCGTAATGAGTGAGTAGGGAGGAGTGAGGCAAGGGAGGGATGGGCGTGGGGGAATGCGTGAAGGCATTTGATGGCTGCCTGGTGAGAGGCGAGCGCGTACAAGGGAGAAGGGGGGAGAGGCAAGTGATCTAAAGAGGGGGGAGAAGGGGGAGGGGGGAAAGAAGCGGGTTGAGGGAACGGAAGAGGGGCCAGCACAGGTGCTTCACACGCGTGAAAGATATTAGCAGGTATATTTGTGGGGTGAACAGGGAAGAAATAGGGGGGAGGGGTGGAGAGGGATGGAGGAAGGGGTTTGAGGGGAAGGGGGGACAATGTTGAAGTAATCTGCAGCCCTGGTCCCTCACCTTGTGTTTTGAACCATCAATGTATCATCAACTGCGTTTTGAGACGCCTGACAGGTTTCTTATATATTCCTTCTAGTGACTATAAAGGGAGTTACAACGCTATTGGTAAGTGTGGCACCCACGACCTCCTCTCGCTCCTTTCTTCCTTGCACACTGCGCATCAACTGTCTCACAGTGCGGCTGCTAGGGTAACGCATGGAGGACTGCACTGATGTGCTCCTCTCTCCCACCCTCCTATTCCCCTTCCTTCCCCCCCCCGCACTGCACGTACCCATTCCTTTCCCTGTCCTCCCACCACAGGCGGAGATACTAGTGCTGGGCAATGTGAACCATACAAACCACCCTAATCCTAGTGCGCTACTGGGTCCTGCATTGAGATCGACCGGGCGGGTCTGTTGTACGAGCTGGCGGAGAGGGGAAGCCTGCACCACTGGCTGCACTCCAACAGTGAGCTTCCACTCTTGTGCGTAAGAGGAAGAAGAGGATGATGAGGGTGGGGGAACGTAGGTTGACTGAAAACAGTTCTGGTTTACGGCCCGGGGAGAGAGGAGATGGTTACCGCTGGTTAAGGAGATGGGGTGGAAGGTGAAACGCGTGACAGAAATGGAGAAGGATACGGGGAAAGTTCAGCAGTCCTTAAGTTACGGCTAGAATTCAGGACCGGGAAAAAAAACATAACGAGCAACAAATGCTTTCCTGTGCCAGCCGGGAATCGAACCCGGGTCTGCACCGGGCTCATGGCAGGGTGCTATTCTACCACTAGACCACTGGCACGCGTTTTGATGGAGACAGCATGTCTCTGGTCATACAATCAGATGTTTGCGGGCTGCATTTGGCCTGAAATTGTTGACAGGCTGGTCATGCCGAGCCGATGCCCTCATTGGGAAACATTTGGCCTGCATGGTGCCAGTCAGCATAGTGCCAGGCCGCATCGTCGGGGGCTGCATAGTCAGGGGCAGTGAGGGGCCGGTTCACGCTGAGTTGATGCCCTCTTTGGGAAACAACTGGGCTGCGCGGGGTTGGGGCATGGTGCTGGGATGCATGGTGCTGGGATGCATGGTGCTGGGATGCATGGTGCTGGGATGCATGGTGCTGGGATGCATGGTGCTGGGATGCATGGTGCTGGGATGCATGGTGCTGGGATGCATGGTGCTGGGATGACGTGTTCCCTTTTCTCTCTCCATTCTGTCTCCTTTCCATACCCTTCCCCTCCCCTTCCCCTCCCCCCTGTATCCCCTTCCCCTCCCCCCAGCTTCCGCTTTCCCTCCCTTCCCCTTACCTTTCCCTCCCCCTTCCCTCCCCTTTCTCTCCCCTTTCCCTTCGCCTGCCCGTCCCTTCCCCTTCCCCACTCCTTTCCCTCCCCTCCACCCCCATCCCCTTCCCTCCCTTTCTGATCCCCCTCCAGTCCCCGCCCCCCTGGTGTCTCACGTGTCTACAATTTCACGTATTTAACCCCACCCCACCCTCAACCACACACCACCCACCTCAACCTCTCAAACCCAACCTTCCCTACATTGTTGACTTGACCGCAACTCACTTGCAGTCATTTTGCAATGCTCATTCATGCCCGTCTTTCTCGGCTTGGGATTCATACTTCTCTGCTCAACCAGTGCAGCCTTAGCATGAGTTGTTGCACACCAAGGCGAGAACCACTCCCTCGGTGTCCAACAATGGATGGCCAGTCCATGGATCTTGTGACAATTACAAGGCCGTTGATGCAAACCCCACCCATCGTAGGACATTGTAGGACATAAGCGAAGAGATTGAAGGAAATCTGTATCGTTCGAAATGGATGATTTAATCATGGGGAAGGGTCTTCTTATTCCCCTACGCCACAACCCTTTTACACTTTTTCCCCCCTGGCAGGAAATCATTTTTCCCTGCCCGCTCCAGCGAATTTTCACGTATTTCCAAATGGGACAACTGGAGATTGGCGCTTATACGCTTGCGCATTATACGAGAAACACGAATCTGCCAACGTAGCCACTCCCCTCCCCACTCCCCTCCCCCCTCCCCCCTCCCCTCTCCCCTCCTACCCTTCCCCCCCTCTCCCCTTGCCCCTCCCCTCCCATTTCCGTCCCCTTGCCCTCCCCAGCCACGCGTGGTGGGAGTGGAGGAGCTGCTACTCAGCACACCTGTCACATGCAAGCAGTGTGTGTACGTGGTGGACATTCATGAGCCACACATGAGCGGGCGATGGCGTGAGAATCTGCTGGGATCCGATGCGATGCGATGTGCTGAGCTGACCAAGATAGAGAGCCACTGGAGGGTGTGCTCGTGTGCCTCGCCACGCGTATCAAGGAAGGAGCCCACAATCATTCCTACGTTGCTGCAGCAGAGAGAGCCTTGAAGATAATGTGAGTGGGGTTTGTGAGTCATGTGCTGAAATGGAAAATATGGGGCCATTTCATATGGATGTGAGGGAGCATTGATTTGATAGGCAGTGTCGGCCTTCTCTACCAGCTGTCATCGCTCCCCTCTTATCACCCTCACTTTTGATGGACGAGAATTATGTCGACATGCGCGCGGTAGAAACAACACGAAAAATGGATTTCACAACTAGTGGCCTGCCACAGAAAGCAGCTCTCCAGGCTGTCCGTGGCTCCTGTCTGCTCCTGGTCCAACTTCTTCTCCCGCACATACACCCAACATACATGCACACACGCTTGCATGTAACATACGACACAATTCTCGTCCAGCTGCGGCGGCTCTGGCTTCTTCACGGCAAGCTGTTATGTCGGAGATCTCCTCTTCCTCACTTCATCCCTTGGCTGCTTCTTCCCTGGACCTCTTACCCTTCTTCTTCATGTACTTCCCTGCTTGTCTGCAGACTCTGCCTGCTTCTGCCTCAGCCACTACCAGAGAGGCTCCTGCTCCCACAAGCTGGCTGCCCTCAGTGGCGTATCACCTAGCTGCGGTAGCCTTAGAACGGTGAAATGAATCCACTATAGTAGGCAAACAAAACGAGAGAACAGGTTCTAGTGGCTAGGCTAGGCTACTTTATTTCCTACCCACAGTCACGCCCATTACCATGGCCTTGGGCTGGGTTCGGGTCGCCTTATGCCTTACTGGTCGCTGCAGATTTCCTGCTCCTCGAGGCGCTTGTTACTCCTCTTCCCAATGTCCCAATTCCCCATGCTACCACTTCGCATCATTCCCCTGAAGCCCAACAACCCCTCCGTAAGGTTGCATAACCACAACCTACACCCTGCTACACCAACTCTAGTGTATAACCGAATATATTGTTCTTTATCACTATATTTGGTGACAGTTATCACCCTTACCTTTGATGTCACAATCCCCTTCCCCTTCCCCCTCCCGCTTCCCCCCCCTCCCCCCCTCCCTCCCCAACAGCACACACTTCTGTCTGACCTTCACTCCACTCCCCATTTCGCACCCATTCTCCTCCCCTCCTCCCGTTCTGCGCGCCCTCCCTCCATCTTCCTTCTCATATCAGCTCGACAACTGCTTCAACTTACACATGCCTCGAATCACCAGCTGGTGATCCACGGAACGGAGTTGTTCACTTACAGTAGAACGGAAACTTGACTACCACCGCCTAACCAACTGGGTCGCTGCAGCTGCATTGACTTGCACATGCATCAATGCAGGGACAGTGCAGCAGATCATTTTGCATCTCAGGTGTGAGTGGAGCTGTTAGTGTGGCAGTATCATTGTAAGAGATTATTTATCTCCTACCTGCCTCCTGCATGCCCGTGAATGGGCCGTATGGGTGGGTGATGGAGCAGCAAGTGTAGCTTCTATTTTTTTTCATGCAGGCACAGTCCCACGTCTTCTTCACATCTGCCCTCCGTCTTATCCATGGATCATACCATGCAACCCAGCGTAGCCATAAAAAAGTCCCCTGGCAAGCTGTTGCATGCATGCCTATAGTTTTATACGAATGATTGTGGTGGAACTTTTCATGCATATGCAATCGTGATTACGGTATATCAGCCATGCATTGTGGTGAATAAATTTGGACCGTTTCAAATTGGACAACAAAAACAGTGGTGCATATACTACAAGCTTCAGTACGATCCAAGCTCAATGTCACCTGTGTGCCTGAGATGTTTCATACAGCGCTGCAATCTTAGGTCGAAGCACAAGTTCATTCTACAATCTGCTCAGGCAAGCCTCATCAAGAAACCCACTTGTCTACAGAACTTTCTTCAGTACAATCTCATGATCTCCAATACGGTACCATCATCAGCATACTCTCTTCCACGCACTCCCCATCTCTTAGCTGCCTCGCGGCAACAGTAGGGACCTCAGTTCTCACGATATTCCACGACCCTCGTGCCATCTAGGTCCAGGCTCTCAGACCCAATATTCGCCATCTCAACATTGCCCGATGGGTATTATTAGAGCAGATTGGAGTAAGGTGCAATGCCTTACAGCTCCATCACACCGTAAGGTGTAATGCCTTACAGCTCCATCACACCGTAAGGTGCAATGCCTTACAGCTCCATCACACCGTAAGGTGCAATGCCTTACAGCTCCATCACACCGTAAGGTGCAATGCCTTACAGCTCCATCACACCGTAAGGTGCAATGCCTTATAGCTCCATCACACCGTAAGGTGCAATGCCTTACAGCTCCATCACACCGTAAGGTGCAATGCCTTACAGCTCCATCACACCGTAAGGTGCAATGCCTTACAGCTCCATCACACCGTAAGGTGCAATGCCTTACAGCTCCATCACACCGTAAGGTGCAATGCCTTACAGCTCCATCACACCGTAAGGTGCAATGCCTTACAGCTCCATCACACCGTAAGGTGCAATGCCTTACAGCTCCATCGCACCGTAAGGTGCAATGCCTTACAGCTCCATCACACCGTAAGGTGCAATGCCTTACAGCTCCATCACACCATAAGGTGCAATGCCTTACAGCTCCATCACACCCTCAGCTCCATCAGCTCCTTGCAGATTTTACAAACATTACCCTCTCCTCTGAGAAGATATGTGTACACCCTGCACCCACACAGCCAGCAATTCATATGCAGCTCCCCTCATGCAACCACGCAAGACATACTCACCCCTGCACGTGCCCGTCGTTGCTGCTGCTGCGTGCCACTGCTGCTGCCCCTGCTGCCGCCCCTGCTGCTGTCACTGCTGCTGCCACTGCTGCCACCACTGCTGCCACCACTGCTGCTGCTACCACTGCAACCACCACTTCTGTTGCCACCCACCATACTCACCTCCCTCACTTCTCCCTTTCCCGCCCTTGTCCCCAGCTTCCCCCCCTCCCCTCCCCTTCCCCTTTTGCTCCGCCTCGCCTTCCCCGTCAGCCCTGCTGATGAGCGTTTCCTCCTCCCATCATAAACAAAGAAAGCCAGGAAATTCCTATGCAGCTCCCCTCAAGCAGACAGTGGTCTGTTGCCCAGCCAGCCTTGCACCTTCTTCTGTCCACCTGCAAGGCACGAGCCAGTTGAGCATTCTCCAACGCTCTGCAGCATGCAAGTTGAGTCGTGCATAACCACCATTGCATGCCTCACTCCTACGCATACATGCCTCCCCTCACTCTTAACACCCCTTCCCTCCACGCCTCTCCTCAGTCTCCCCTAGACAGTCTCAGGCAACTCCTCCCTCACCTCACCTCCCTTTCCAACATCACTCCCTGCCACCCTACCTGCCTATCCGCCTGCGTACTGCAGCTTTCATAATCGTACCCCCTTCTGGCGGAAAGAGAGTTGTCAGCTTGGTCAGGGCAGTCAGCAGCTGCAGCCCATCATCCATGACTGCTGTTCCATTCAGCCAAAGTTATTCAAGCCTGGTCAGCCTCCCCACATGCACCATGCCGGCATCTGTCACACCCTTGCATTCACCAAGGCTAAACACTTTGAGAGAGAGCAGACCTGTCAAGTGTGCCAGACCAGCATCGGTCACCTTGGTCCCCCAGAGAAGGAGCGTCGTGAGATTGCTCAAGAACCCAATGCCTTCCAAGGCACTGTCTGAGATGTCTGCGTGTTGGAGGTTTAGCATCTCCAGCCATGGCAGCCTGTACAGGTGCTTGATGCCCTCTGCACTGAAGCCTGAGCTAGACTGCAAGTCAATTCTCGTCAGATGCGACATTGTGGACACATGGCCGAGCATATCGTCTGAGAGGCCACAGAGATTCTTGAGGTTCATAGATGACCTGTGTGATGCTGACTTGATTGCCTGGATGAAATGGGCGGGAAGAATATGACAAGGGGATGGGTGACCACAGCGATAAGGAGAACTAGCAAGCAACGCATGCCCTAACCTGCCATGCAGCCTCCCGGTCGCCTTTACTCCAGCTGATTTCCAACTCGATAATCAACTTCAGGTCTTGTATCATCTGCCGTTCCTCACAAGCCACCAGTTCCTCCATGGCAGGTGGCTGACTCAACTCCTGCATCTCCCTCCTCCACTCCTCCTCCCGTGCACACCCCGATGTCAATTCTTGCCGTCTCTTTCTAATTCTCCCTCTCAGGCCTCCTACATCTGATGCCCTACTGCTATCAGCTATTTTCTGCTTGTATTTCGCCAACTCTCCTTTCACCACAGCCAACTCCCCTTTCACCACTTCCAACTCCCCTTTCACCACTTCCAACTCCCCCTTCACTACTGCGAACTGTCTGTCCCTTTCCTCCACCACATAAGTTGCCTCGTTCCTCTCCTCCACAGCAGTCAGCATGTGTCGCAGCTCATCCACCTCCTCCTTGTGTGCAGCCAGCTCCTCTCTCACTGCTGCCATGCCAGCACCGCCTCTTTGATCAACTCATTCACTGCTGCACCGATCGCTCTCTCAGCAGCCATATCATCCATCCACTCCTCTCGAACAGCCCTGACTGATCCCTGTGTTCAACTGCCAAAGCAGCTGACGAATAGAGAGTAGGGTTCTGTTAAGTGTGCTCGGAGAGAAGAGAAACGCACATGGAGATGAACGCACATGGAGACGAGAAAGAGGGAGGGTGAAGAATTCGCACTGAAGCAAAATCAAGCGCATGGGTGTGAGGAAAGGCGCAGGGCGAGTACGGAGAAGTAGGAAGAGACCAGATGACAAGATGGAGACATTGATTCAACTCATCTTTAAATGAAGCCGTGAGAGTTGATGCTTGATGCATTTACCTTCAATTCTTTCGGCAGCAGAACAAGGGGAGGCCAGGAGTAGGAGCAGAGGAGGCCAGGTGTCAGGAAGAGCAATGCGTGCTTATCTAGTTAGAAAAGCCAAGGCAGTGGGCTTATTTCCTTTCCAAGCCAAGGCAGTGGGCTTATTTCCTTTCCAAGCCAAGGCAGTGGGCTTATTTCCTGTCCAAGCCAAGGCAGTGGGCTTATTTCCTTTCCAAGCCAAGGCAGTGGGCTCATTTCCTTTCCAAGCCAAGGCAGTGGGCTTATTTCCTTTCAAAGCCAAGGCAGTGGGCGTATTTCATTTCCAAGCTTGTCTCCGTTCCAAGCAAGGGAGGGAAGAGTATTTTCAATTATTGAATAAATCGGAGCGAAAGCCAGCCAGGCAGGTAGGCATGGCATCCCCTCTGCATGAAACTGTTCTATCTTCCCTGAGCTGCTCTCAAAAGATATTTGAGTGTGACAAGGCACAGGTTCAGACACGTTGGGCTGTTTACAGTGCAGGGAAGGCCTTGCCCAGCCACCCTCTGTGCTCCAATCCCGTTGCCTCACCTCCACACGCCCTTCAATCTGTACATGGTAGCCACAGCCAATCCGAGTCAATCCACCATGGTACCGTAGAGTGCTGCAGTGCAGCAGCAGGCCACCCAGCCCAGCCAACAACCTTTGTGCAAGGAGCTGCCATCACGTTAATGCCCCTTTCCAGGCACAATATGCATGCATACATCCCTACTCCTCCTGTTTATACACAAACCAATCATAGGCTGCTCTAGCTGTACAAAGAGAACGCCTTTCTAAACCAACTTACACACTCCCCCCTCCCCCTCATCCTCCTCCTTCCCCGCTGCAGTCACAGAGCAACACTCAGCATCAATGGGGCACCACGCATCAAGCATTGGTCACCACCATCATTATCACACAACCAGCCCACACGGCAATTCTCTCAGCCAAGCTCTGTCTCAATACAGTCACATCCAGTACACTCCCAACCACGGATACAGTCACAACGAACGTGACATGCTGCGTCGGGTTGAGCCGGTGCGGCAGCCGCGTGAGGGGGACAGCCAGCCCCCGCCGCTCTTCACTGCTGTGGCTGCCGCTGCTGCGTCAGGCGAATCCTTTGTCCTCGACGTCCCTCTCAGACGGACAACTGCTGCTGCTGCTGCTACAAATGCTGCTACAGAAGCTGCTACAGCTGGTTACACACCTGCTGCTGCTGCTACAACCGGAGCAGCCAGACTGCAAGCCCAGGGGAGGAGGAGGAGGCAGCGAACGGTGATCATCGGGCCAATCTCCCTGCAACGGGCCGCTGTAACTGCAGGGTACCAGCTGTCTCAGAAGCGCCCGAAAGGCCCCTGCAGCATGTGGTTCAAGAGAGTCTTCATAGTCAGAGTCAAGTCTGCTGCTGATTTCGCCGCCAGGGCCTCTCTCCCGTGCACCGCCACCGTTATTCTGCATTTACATAAAGATTTGATGCTGCCTAAAAGGGTTATTTTCGGGCGGCAGCAGTCGTGCACGATACTCATGTCAGCGAAATGGCCTGGTTACACGGTGACGGGTGGTAACCCTATGTATCCGGTGCTGCGCGTGTGGAACACTAGTAACTTCATGTCGCTGAACGTGAACTATCGCCTGCCGGTGACGGAGAGCAGCCCCGAGTGCACCATCGTGCCAGAGCTGGGCAAAGGCGTGACCTGCCCTGCCATCTCCATCCATCGGTCCTTCGGCGTGCAGATTGGCAAGGTCAGTCCCTCCCTTTTACCTTCTTTTCACTCTCCCTTGTCTTTCGCTGTAGAGAGCATTCCAGAGTCGACCACCCCGAACTTTGAATGCTTGCGTGCGGTGAGTTGAGTGTCGCTGAACATGAAATATCACGTGCCGGTGACAGAGAGCACCACTAACTGGGCAAGGGAGTGGCAGAGCTGGGCAAGGAGTGGCAGAGCTGGGCAAGGAGTGGCAGAGCTGGGCAAGGAGTGGCAGAGCTGGGCAAGGAGTGGCAGAGCTGGGCAAGGAGTGGCAGAGCTGGGCAAGGAGTGGCAGAGCTGGGCAAGGAGTGGCAGAGCTGGGCAAGGAGTGGCAGAGCCAGGCAAGGAGTGGCGTGCCCCGCGACGCAGTCTTGATCCATCGATCATACGGCGTGCAGATTGACAAGGTGAGTCCCTCCATTCCATCTGCTTGTTGGGCTCCTTTCGCATGTCACGCTCCTTTCGCAAGTTCTCTTGTCTGGATACTTCCGGTGGACGTGGTGGTGAGATGATGGAGCACCATAAACTCGTCTCATCCCACACCCACACCCACATGTCTTCCAGCTCCTCATCTGTCCACGTGCCTCCACTCTCATCCCCATTCCCTCTCCTTCCCTTCCCCTCACAGCACCGTCTTTGGCCCAGTGGGCGTGCAATGGAGCATGGCCATGCCGCGTGCGGCTGGACTCACTAACGCTCACTGGAGTGGTTTCTCTCTCTTTTTCTCATCCCACACATCGTCTCAAGCTCCCGCGTGCCTCCAAGCTACCCCCTATCCCGTCTACCTCTCTCCCCCCCAGGGCAACATCTTTGGGCGAGTGGACGTGCTACGCAGCATGGACGTGCGCCTGGACTCACTCTCGGTCACCGGAGTGGCTTCCTTTATCAAGTCGCCTAGGGTGATCCGAGTGGCCCTGTGTGGGTACGAGCCGGGACTTCTCAAATCCAACGTTGTCATCTCCAACAATGAGGTGTACAGTGAGTGAGTGGGATGCTTCCCAGAGTCAACGGGAGTCAACCAGAGTCAATGAGATTGAAGGTCAGTGAATGGTCCTCACTGTTCCCCCTGCCCCCTTAACCTCTCTCTCCCCATTGCCCCCTTATCCTCACTCTCCCCCTGCCCTCCTGCCCCATGGTCTTGCACAGAGGAGCAGTGGGCACAGTAATAACAAACAACAACATCCATGGCTACATCTTCTCATCACCATGCTCTTTCCCGCTCTTTCCCTTGATCCACTCCCCCCTCTTTCCTTGCCTGCAGGGGTGAACACCCCCGTTGTGCTGCACAGGGGAGCAGAGGGCATAGCAGTCACCAGCATCTACATCCATGACCATTGTTTTTGCGGGAAGTCGGCATGCATGACAGCAACGAATGCATGCTTACTCGCATCATCTCCAATTGATCTCGTCATTTCCCCTCCGCACCCATCCCCTCCCCCCTCTCCTTATGTCAAATCCCCCCATTTGCCCCCTCTTCTCGTTTCGCCCTCTTCCGCTCTCTTTCCGTTGCCTGCAGGGGTGAACACTCTGACTGTCTTGCACAGGGGAGCGGCGTTAGGCATCACTATGACCAACAAGTACATTCACAACTACGTTATCGTTGGGATTCACTGCAGCGCTGCAGCGCCAATGTGCATTGCAGCGGTGACTGCATGCTCACTCGCATCAACTCCAGCCTTGTTTATTCTAACAACGGGGATCAAGTCTCGGCAAGGATTTACCACTGTCCTAGTGGTTGAACTCTCCTTTTCTGTACTCTTCCCCCCTTCTTTCCCTTGACTGCAGGGGTGAACACTCCGATCCTCTTGCACAGGAGAGCAGTTGGTGTAACCGTCAGGAACAACTACGTGCGCGACTTCATATTCGCAGGGATCAAGTGCGGTGCCGACGTGCATTACAGCTTTGCGTGCATGCTCTCTCGCATCAACTCCAACCTTGTGGTTTCCTCTGGGAGGAACCTGAACGGGGATCACGACTCGGCTGGGATCTACTTCTACACGCACTGGTTCAGTCCCGGGAACTCGGCGCTGTGCAACTACGTGTTCAACGGCGACCACTGCTACTATCTGGACCATTGCACGTCAGGCGTGCTTGTCAGGGGAGGCGCGTGCGTGAATACGTATGACGGCATGAAAGTGAATAACGGCAAGCGGTGAGGAGGGACTGTGGAGATCCAGTGGTGTGCAATCATATGTTCAGTTGCGCCCTTTAGGGCCCCCTTTTCGTTTGCCTCAGCAGTTCCCTTTGCACAACAACTCCGGATGCCGTACTGCCCTGTATTGCTGTCCACCCCTTCCTCCCCCATCTTGACTGCAGGAACGTGATAACGAACGTGGCGATGAAAGGCACGCGGGGATCGCTGGGGTGGACGTCATGCTTCACAGTGACCGTCAACAACTGCCTCAAAGACCCCGGCAACTACTGGGAGGCCATGCGCGTGAAATACTACAACAGCGCCCGCATCAACCACGTGAGTGAGAGCAGAGCAAGAAGTGAGCAAAGAGCACATGTCATAGCTTCGCATCCAACATGTGAGACGCCTCAAAAGTATCGAAAGGGACTACTGGGATGCAATGCAAGTGAAATACTACACAGCACCCATATCAACCGAGTACGTGAAGAGAGCTGTTACTACTGGGAGGCATCCCTATGAATATCTGTGCCAGTGGCTGTGCATATGGTGCCCCTGTGGTGGCGTTAAGCCTCATTCCTCACACACAGCAACCGTATCAACTGGGTGTGTGAGAGTAAAGGAGCAGATGTTCAGCAGTGAGAGAGTGTGAAGTCACATGTGGTCAAACTTACCAAGTGATCACTGCTCCTCCACCCGTTGACCCCCCCTCCATATCATGTGTGCAATAAAAGCTAATGTATTCTTTTCCTTACCTCCCCCTTCGTCTCCTTTCTCTCCTCTCCTCTCTCCCCTCCCTCTCTCCCATCTCTCCCATCTCCTCTCTCTTTTCCCCCCCTCGTTATTGTCACATCCAGCTATGGCCTTCGATGAAGGACGTCTGCAAGGAAACATCGGCCAATGGCGGCGTGTCATGTAACCCGCCAGGTCAGCCAGGTGCTGACGTCACGGGAGCATGCAGCGGGCTGGGAACCGACAATCTCATCGACGTTGTCGCCGTCAACACCACCAACTATGGCCTCGACTGGAAGCACTGCGAGAATTTCACCGTTACGGAAAAGTTGAATCGGGAGATCAACATTTCGCTGAGTCAGCCTCTTGCTGCGGGCTTTCGGGACTACATAGGGAATGATTTGGGGCTGGAAAATACATCTGCAATTTTGAAGTTGCGGCCGGATTATTTGAGTTGCCCGTTGGGGCTCGCAGGACCAAGAAAGTTTTCGGAGAAGTCTTTTTATGAGGGTTACAACATCCTGATGCCAAGGGGGTTTCGGAAGGTTGTTACGATGGACATTAAGCATATTATAATTCAGGACTTGATTATCCCCTCGGTTAGAGCTCAGATGATGGCAGCTGGTGATGGGGAGTATTCATGGCTTGCCTCATCTAGAGGCTTATCAACAAAAATCTAACACCGTCACGCTTTTCAAGTTACGAACGCTACTCCATCTTATTCCGAACAGATATTCCAATGTCAGGTGACGCCCTCTCTGCTTTCACACGTGGCCTATTCGGGCGTGCAACATCGCCCACACGCAAGCGACGCCGCGAACCTGCCTTGACACTTGCCCTCTCTCCCTCCCCTCCTCCCCCTCGCCTTACACCCATCCCCTTCCCTTACCCCATTCCCTTTCCGTTACCTTCTCCCCTTACATTTATCCCCTACCTTTCCACTAATCCACCCCTCCTTCCTTTACCCCCTCCATGAACCGCATCCCCTTCCGTTTTCCCTTTCTCCTTTTCCCACCCCTCCCTTCACCCAAGTCTCCTTACCCCAATTTCCTACTATGGCACCAGGCTCTGCCACGACCCGTCCCGCAGCTCACTCCTGGCGAATTCAATCCTCGCGGGCTGATTGGAATGGCTGAGCTTGTAAGGAGTGCGGTGCGTAGTACTGCAGGCATCACTGCTCCAGCCGGACGATGACCGCGCCTCGCCTTGCACCCGCCGTTGCACCACCGCCAGTTGCACCGCTGCTGGAGACGTAACGATTGCCCCCTCAGCTGTGCTCCTGCGTCTCTTGCACCCCCACTTGTTGCCTGCCTGCGTGCCACGTGCCCCTTGCCTGGAAGAACCTTCACGATTCCGGGTCGTCCTTATGATCGCTCACGTGACGCCCGCCTGCCCGAGCCCTCCTACTACCCTTCCCACCATGCCATTTCTCCCTTTTCTCGTTTCCTGCTCCCTCCGTCTTCCACCCCCCGTCAACCTCCCCCCCTCTCCCCCACTCCACACATGTCACTCCGCCGCTAACTTCTTCCTACCCCACTGCACTCACTCCCGCCACTTCCCTTACGCTTTTGGCCCTTATGGCCCGGCCACACTGCTCTTGCACCACCACACTCTCCCCTTCCCTTCCTACCCCCCTCCCTCCCCTTCCCCCCACCCCTCACCCCCAGCATAGATGCTTACCCCCAGGCAGCGGGTGCACTGACTACTAAGGCATTATCACCTCCCTTTGACATGCCCTCCCTCTCCGCTATGTTGCCAGCGCACTGTTTACAGGACGAAACGGCTATACCCTGTGCCTTTGGGGCAACCTGCGCATCACAAGCATGTCAGTCTCAGGTCAGTTTCAGGTCAGTTTCAGGTCAGTTTTCAGGTGAATTTCAAGGGGGTTTCAGGTAAGTCCTAGGTGAGTCTCGAACTAGTCTCTGGACTCACTCGCGCCACTTCTGTTACGCTCTGCAGCAGCCTGTGCCCTCGGGTTAAGCTGCTAGTCACAAGCAGGTCAGTTGCAGGTCAGTCTCAAGTGAATTTCAAGTGAGTCTCAGGTCAGTCTTATGTCAATCTTAGGTGGGGTTGAGTACGTACCAGAATTGAGTCCAACCGGTCCACTATGTTGGAAACAATCGGTCCTAAGCGCCTCTGTCGTGTCGAAACACCAAGACACAAGCGAAGCAAAACACCATTGAAGCACCAGCGAGTTAACCCTCGGAGGTTGAAGTAACCGTCGGAGGTTACGCGAAAGTCGAAGGTCAGCGACCCTTGACCTAATAAGTACAGCACGACAGCAAGGACACACAACTGACTCGCTACAGAGCAGTTGCCCGAGACGTCACTGTATCGAACCGCAACAGCAACAGTAAAGTAGTTATAACCGTATCTCTTCGTATTCCTTGTACTCCTATATAATCCAGTATCTCTTTGCTTTAATCAACTTACTTTGCCCTCACATACTAGCGCAAGGTGGTTCACAACCCTTTAATTAACGCTTCCACTACTACACCAACTCTACCCACAGTTCACCCCTGCAAAGATCCTAAGGGCTTTTCAGCCCAACATGGTATGAGAGCAATCAGGGGGAATTCAACTTCTATACCGACAACATCAATCAGCATGGCTACACAAAAGGAAATGAGCAACTCCAACGGCTCCCAGGGCACTACTCCTACTCCACCTCTTGCCTCTGGCCTATAGACAGAGGAGGGCACGGCAACAAGACCCAGAGCAACATCTACTGAGACTCCCGCGAATCAACCTGCAGACTTCGACCAGAGCATGATGGAGAAGTTTTTCTCCTTCATATCTTTCTACGAGCAACACCAGCAATCGGCACCTGCGCAGTCACACAACAGCAACAACAACGGAGCAACACCCATGTGTCTCGACGGCTCATCATATGCACGAGGAAATCAATAACAGCAGCTTACCTTTGCTCCGTACGAGCGCGGGTCCATCAGCTTTATGCCACACCCACAGCCCTCACCTGGACAAGAAAAATCACTGGACGCATTACAAGTTCAGTCGCAATTCGCACACGTTCTGAAGATGCAGACGTCAAGACCCTTCGATGGAAAGGACTTCTTCACCTGGTCGTTCGAGTTCGAGCTGATGATGCAAGGCGCGCAGGTACTCGGGTTCTTCGACGGGTCTCTGCCATACCCAACAAACGGCACACAGTACGAGAAGCAGCAGTTCACCTATCAGTCAATGATGGCATACACGATCCTACTCAAGAACATCACCCCGACTCAACAGCAGAACATAAGGACTTACCGAGGCTACGGCAACTCCGCGGAGCTCGCGTACAACCACCTGAAGAGCCTGTATCAAGCAACAGACAGCGTAAGTCAAAGCCGGTTAATGGCGCAACTGACAACGGTTAAAATGAAACCAGGGGAGAAAGGAATGGCGTATATCAGTTGATGTTGCGAGTTGCGCGACAAGCTTCTTCGATGCGGAGGGTCGATTTCTAAAGACGCCTTCGTGACAGTCATCATCGGCGGCCTCGGTCCTCAATGGCGCGCCACAAAAGTCATTCTCCGAGCTAACGGAAGAATCTCTGAAGCAGCGCTCTGCGCCGAAATCCACGCCGAGCAGCAAGACATGGACCTGCAAGAAGAACGACACAAAAAGAAGACATCAGCACCGGAATTTGCGTTCCACACTCAGCGACGCTACACCAACATCAACAACCGGTAGCAACAACAGAAGCGAGTACCTCCGTTCTGCCACATCTGCAAAACTTCAGGACACCCGCGTACGCACTGCCCGAATCGTCAACAGTCAACAACTCCACAGCGGCAACTTCGACCTTCAAGCAGCCAAATCGCCTCAACGCAAGCAAATCCCACAACTCAGATTCAAGCCTCAAAGACCTCAACAGGACAACCTGCACAAGGAGCAAGAAACATAGTCAACTGCATGGCAAAGCTGAGCGACTCCTGCATCACCGAGTCACCACCACACCATTCACCGGAAGAACAACTCGACGAAATAACACCCCGCCGCGAGTCACTTCGGCCAAACCCGACATACGCCGCCATCGCCCAAAGCGAACCATCTGGAAAGGACACATGGTTCTTGGACAGTTGCTGCGGACAGCACATGTGCTCCTCGAGACGCTTCGTTCAACGAGAACACCAACTTCAACGCGAAGTTGTCATTACAGTCGCCAACAATCAGAACCTAGGAACACGACGACAATGCGTAGTTCAACTTCACTCAAGGGAAACAAACGTTATACTGCAGATGTCAAAAGTACTTATCGCGGAGGGATTCGGCTACAACTTACTGAGCGTCAGTCAGCTAATGGCAAAGGGGATTCACCTCGAAGCAGACAGCACCACCCAAGAATTCAAGTTGTCTCACGGAAGAGGAGGACTCTACATCGGCAAGGCGGTCCTCAAGAACAACGTCTTCATTCTTGACTTCGTTCCTGATCTTGGCACCGCCGACAGCGACGCCATCGTTAACTTCACCAACTGGACACACCCTCCAGACCTTCATCCACACTTCAGTCCAGAAGGCTTCTGGTATTCACACACCATCCCCGAAGCAGAAAGAACAAGGGCATCAGTAACAATTCAGACAACATCAGCAGCAGCAGAGACAACATCAGCAGCAGCAGAGACAACATCGACAGCAGGAGAGACAACATCAGCAGCAGCAGAGACAACACCGGCAGCAGCAGAGACAACATCGGCAGTAGCAGAACCATCAACAGCAGCAGCAGGAACGTCAACACCAATTGCTGGTCCTTCAACGACACCGCTCCAAATCGACGACACACCACCGACACTCGCGCAAAAACTACACCCAGCACCACGAGAAGTTCATCGTAGCGCCAACTTCACCGCCAACTTCTACTCCAACTCCGATATGTACCAACGATCACCCAGACATCGCGCCGAGGAAAGCACCTGGCACGCAAGGATGGGACACCCAAGCAGCACAGTATTAAACAATACGATAAGAGCAGGAGTACTCAACAAGGACTCACTCCTACTGACCGACGGACGAGAACTTCAACGAGTACGCGGAACGTGCCTCACTTGCCCTGAAGGTGACTTACCACATCGACCGTTTGCGTCTCATCACAACCCGAGCGCTCCCGCGTACGCACCACTCGAGAAGGTGTATAGCAACATCCTGTTCAATCACGAACCAGGACAAGTAACATACAACTATACAATC